TGCAGTAAATGGTTTGAACCCGGGGGTAACATGTGAAGGTGTAGTCTGATCGTCCGGGTGAGTGTAGTCCTGAGAAGGACTGTTGTCGGTGGTAGTGACTGACGTTTCGACAACCTGTGCGGAAGTCATCATCAGAGTGACTCTGATGATGACTTCCGCACAGGTTGTCGAAACGTCAGTCACTACCACCGACAACAGTCCTTCTCAGGACTACACTCACCCGGACGATCAGACTACACCTTCACAAATCATAAGTAAGATAGCAATATATGGCAACTGATTTAAATTGAATAGTTATGATTCATGGCCTAGCAATGTAATACAACACAGCCGTCTACATGATATCAGCGTTAGATTGAATAAATACGATTTCTGGCTTAACAGTGCCTAAAAACACAGCAGTCTACTTAAAATCTTACCACTTTTAACAACTGACATGTAAGTAAGGGGTGAAAGCAATCTTTTCCTTAGCAGCCTATTAAGTTTGCCTGCTGTTCAGATCAGACTCTATATATTAAAGAACTTCATATGCTGTTACTTTTTTCTACACTTAGCACTAACTGAACTAAAATTCAATCTACATCTGAAATAATTTTATAAAAGACGACTCAAAGGTTAACTGCTTATCAAGGAGAAACCCTTAGAGATTAATGTTACGGGTAACTTTATCTGCCAGTCTTTTGGAATTACCTCTTGAGTTGATAACTTTAAGGCAACTGTATTTTGACGCTATTTACGAAAACTACTGTAGGTAATTACTTAATCAATTCCAAATTAAATTTGTTTCACAAAGAATGCACTCCTCTGAGAGTACAGTGTTACTGATTACACACTCGTTTCTTTTATACCATCGATCGCTTCGTAGAACTGATCAAGGTCGCTATCATCGTCAAACGAGGCCAGCGGTGCTCTTGGAGACTCTCGCCCTGAGGCTGCTGGGAGATTTTCGTGTGCTTTGTTTGTATCTGTTGCATAATAACATGACACAAGGAAAAAAGACGACATTCAGTAACTTGCCCTGTGTTAAATACTTACACTCTGCTCAGACTAATTCATAGCAAGATTGTTATGTAAAGTGGAGCGCCGTGTAATACAACGCAAACCTCGCAAAAGCGCTTCCCGAGAACACTATCTTGTCGCTTTGCGGAAAGAAAAACAGTTCCAAACCTTTCCAATGAGAAAAAAGTTATTTCACTATTCGAGTAAACCGCTCAATGTAGTTCAGCTGGGTAACGAAGGTGACGAAATTGTAGAAACAAAAAATTTGTTTAAGGAAGAGCGAGGAGATGTTGTTCACTATAAGTCCTCCAAATTGATGAAAAATATCTTAATGCATCAGAGTTCTTTTCTTTTTATCAAAGGAAGCAGGGGCTAGAGCTGCTATACATACCCTTATTCGCGGTAAACTGCTCGTCTTCCCCAGCTTCCTCGTCCATGCCATCTTCATCTTGCTTTTCAGATTCTTCGAAGTCCTTTTTTGATTCTTCGTCTTGTTTGTCAAGCTCATCTTCAATGTTATCTTCAACGTGTCCTTTGGATTCTTTGCAGTCGTTTTTCGACTCTTCTTCTTGTTTGTCAGGCTCATCTTCAATGTCATCCTCATGTTTTTCCTCAGATTCTTCTTCTCGTTTTTCAGGTTCGTCTCTCTGCTCTGATTAGCCTTCTTGGTCATCCTCTGGTTTTTCATCCTGTTCAGTCTCATCTCTCTCTCCAGGCTCTTCACGATCGGTCTGCTCTGCGTTTTGCTCATGCTCACTTTGATCTTTAGATCCGTCATCACTGTCATTGCTGTCATCACTCTCTGCTTCTCGATGGATTAGAACTGAAAAGAGAAAAGTTATTAAATAAAAAATGCTCTGTACTACAACTGCTACTTCCTATGAGCTTTCTCTTGACAGTATTTATTAAAACAATAACTTTGATGGCAGCTCTTTCAAAAAAAAANAGATGCAAGGCATCAAGAACAAAAATAAACAGTCAAAGACTGTATGTGGCCACTGGTAAAGCACAATTTTAATAGCATTAAAAAAGTCAGAGGTGTTATAGTGACGCTAGCACCTAGAGTTTGCAGAATATTTGTCTCACATGCTAAACAGAAAACCTGCCTCATCCCACATAATGATAAGTACCCTGTTCCACAAGAGAAAGATGATTCAGCAATATATTCTCCAATTGACATTCAACCAGTACTTAAAAGTAGTAACAAAAAATAGTATTAAAAATAATAATAATAATGCTAACAATGTTAATATATAACAATAATTTAAAGGGGCTAGTTCGAAAGACTTATGGTTTCCAATCCTCTGGACTCCAGCATGCCTATGCTTCTTTTTAATTCGCTTGTCAATTATGAATAATTTTCCTTGTTTATTGCAGTTCCATATTTTGAGGCTCTTTTTTTTTTTTCATGCGTAAAAAGTACTCGGTCGTTCCGCGTCCCAAAATAATCCGCAACTCCGCTGATCCACCGTTCTATTGTTTCTCAGTTCCTCCGTTCCATCATTCTTTTGAAGAACTGAGGGTATCGCATTTCACAGCTTGCTCGCTTGGCAAATTTAGCAGCTCTTTTCGGCTTAAGTCACTGATTCAAACTTCAAAATGCAACTCTTCACCAAGCAAAAAATCCTCAGAGTGTTCATTATGTACAGATCACATCTATTGAGATATTCCCGCAGAAAAAGTTTGATTTAGATTTAGTGTCCGTGGATGCCCCTGTAAAATTATAATGAGTTGTTTATGGTCAAAAGGTGATATGTTTATGCTGCGTTCTGTTTTTGCGAGGGTTATTTTCTACAGTAAGCTGTTTTCTTATGAAAGATCAAGGACAATCTGAAAATATTCAAATATCAAATACCGCTAAATTTCCTTTGTGGTAAGCGAAATTTTTTGCTTAAACTGGTTCATTTCACATTCTTCACGACATGGAACAAATATTTATGAAAGTATGCTCTAAATTTCAGCTTACCAAAGATATGAGGGTTGCGAGTTAGTACCTGTTTTGTTGATAAAGTGTAGAGAATGGGATTGATGGCAGAGTTAACCGGCAGAACAAAGACTGCGATCCAAACTGCAAGGTCACCAGGTGTACGGAAGGATTTTTCCAAGAGAGACCTCAATCCAATTACCACAATAGGCAGCCAGCAGACACAGTCGGTAAGAACAATGAAGAACACTCTTTTGGCGAGCGAGG